GTGCACTAAGAGTGAATCGATGCACTAAGAGTGAATCGATGCATTAAATGCATTCGATGTTTCAAACAAGCCTGAGTGCATCGATGCATGGTTTGTGCATCGATGCATAAAATGCATTCGATGTTTTCATAAAACTTGAGTGTATTGATGCATGGTAGTGCATCGATGCATAAAATGCATTCGATATGGTGAGTGCATCGTTGCATCCCTTCTCAATTTTTATTTTTGGCTCGTTTTTTGTTTGAAATACTTTGTGAAATTTGTTTCAAAAATATTTTAAGTATAAAACACAATTTTACAAATTAGTAAGGATTGAAATTGAACTTTGAAAGACTTGGAGTAATATTTTGATATTCGAGTAATTAAATCGAATATACTTAGAAAATCATTTGTAAAATCTTAAAATTCATTTAACTTAATTTGTTATATCGAAACATCAAAATGTTTTCAACAAATTGACTTTTTTATGTTATTTGTCTTGATCTTGACCTAATCACTTCATAATAAGCTTCAAACTTGAGGAGTGGCTTATGTTATGGCCAACCAAAAACTTGGTAAGTTGAAGCTCGAGACTAAATGTAAAGGACATGCATTACTACTTTAAAACGGGTCTCTCGTTATCTTTTTATACCCTCTTTTTTGTGGTTTACAATCTTAGCTACCATTTAATAATAAGGTAAAGCATACACATGGTGCTTTGACTCTAGGCACTATTTTATTGAGTCACCCAATTATAAAAGTTATAAAATAATCCTTTAATTATAGAATATTATTTTTGTTGAGTCCCCCAACTAATAAGAGTTATAAAATGATTGCTCACTATTCATATATTTCAAACTCGTACTTTTTTCGTTAAAATTAACGATCGTTTCAGTTAGACGTTAACATGCTAATCGGATATGATAAATTATATTTTGATTATGTCTACTTACACCACATTTACTTTCAAGCACTAGCTTGATGACATAATGTTTTAAGTACTAGCTCGACGATATAATATGATGGAGAGTCAATCCATAAAATACAACTCAAACAATTATGAGAACAATTTTATCACACCTTAGTAATAGGTTAACATCTAACTCAGATGGTCACCAACTCTTTAACGGAAAAAAAAACAAGTTTGTAACATATAAAGAGTCGGGTGACCATTTTGTAGGTTTTAATAGTTTGGGAGACTCAACAAAATAGAATCCTATAGTTAAAAAATCATTTTATAAATTTTAATAGTTGGGGACTTAATAAAACAATACCATATAATCATGAGACCATTTGTATTTTTTTTTTGGATAGATTAATTGCATTTATATCCAAAGCAACAAGTTGCAATAAAAGAACAAGTATCATAGAAAAAAGATACTCAATCCTACATGTCTTAAGCTATACAAAGAATTAAAAAAAAGCTATACAAAGAAAAGAATTAACAGTATCCATTCTATCTATGCATCTTCCTAGTCCTAACTCTAATGATTTCATTGATAGAATTCAAAATTGACTCTCCATTCCTACTAATATTCTCAAACAATCTTATATTTCTCTCTTCCTAAATGAAGTATATAAAAGCAGTTCAAGAAAGTTTGAAATGAAAGTAATAATACACTTACCTCTAAAAATGGTGAGCGTTTGATAGAGTCAAGTCAAAATATTTTGAGTTATTCGAGTTGATGGGTCCTATTTTATAACTCAAACTTGATTTGAATTTTTTCGAGTTGAGTAGAGTCGGGTCGAGACTTCAAGTTTTTGTTTAAATTTATTTGAAAATATTTATAATATTATGATACTATTTGATTCTAATTTAAATGATTTTTTATAACCATATACAATACATATATATATTTTTTCACATTTTTTCGTATGTGATATACATATACCATACAGAGTCGAAGGACTCTACTCAAACTTAAAAATCAATCCACTAATTACTAAAAATTCCGAGTTATTCGAGTTACTATTTAAGTTATTCGAGTTGTATTTTATAACTTTATTTGAACTTGAAATTTTTTGAGTCGAGTCGAATTTATGAAATTACAATTCGAAGTCGATTCGAATGAAAAAAATTAATTTTTTTTAAATTGAATTGAGTTTTGTTCACCCTTGCCTCAAATGCATGTCAGTCTAACTTACCTCCTCGTCCCATGTAGACACTTCTCATCACAAACCACGATTAAACAGTACATTTTGTCAAATACATCGTGAAAAATGGAACTCAAATAAGATGTAATTTTTTATTTTAGCTGCAATACTATGCAGCAAACACACACTATTGCAAGCCTTCCCAAGATGCCTAACTAAGCTATAACAATGTGCTTCAACACATGAAACAACAACAACAACAACATCAACAACAAAACCCTATTCCCATATGTAATGGAGTAAGAGGAGGTAGGGTAGTAGGTTGCCCTCAATGCCAAGTTGAGAGCAGTTTCCGTGAAAGACCTCCGACAGTCAAAAAAGTAAAAATAAAGATAAAATACAATGCATATAAATAAATAAATAAATAAATACATAGTTGAACATTCTTCATATGCTTTCTTCATATACGCATCTGTAATGGAAGTAATCCCTACAAATAAATCCCTGCATAAAAAATCTATGCATATAGACAGAAACGTAAGACCCGACTAAATTTAAAAAGAGGAAACATGAAGAGAAGAATATACAGAAGTCAACGATAGCAAGCTACGAGAAGGAATAAAGTCAAAATGGGTTAAAACCTAAACTAAGGCAACATTACTCTGCTACCCTAGTTCTAAGCCTTCATAAATTCCAATGACAGAAACGTATATGAAAATTACTACAAAGGCATTAAAAGAAGATAGAGATGATACACCCTATGGATGTGACCCGCACTACTCGGCTACCCTGGTCTTAAGTCTCCATACTTTCCTATCAGAGGTCATGTCCTCGGTAAGGGCTAAATCCTTCAAATCAGATCTCAAGCAGTCTTCCCACTTCCGCCTTGGTCGTCCTCTCCTTCTGGCACCGTCGACTGTAATCGACTCTACCCTCCTGACCGCATCTAACAGTTTTCGCCTAAGGACATGCCCGAACCACCGTAGTCTTCCCTCTCTCAATTTTTCAGATACATGCACCACCCCCAAGGACATCCTAATAGCAGAGTTTGGTGTCATGTCCCACAGAGTCCTACCACATGTCCATTGAAGCATTCTCATTTCTACGGTCTCCATCCTCCTTACGTGATCCTTCTTGATTGCCCAACATTTTGATCCATACAGCAGCACTGGTCTTATTGGCATTCTATAAAAAATTTCCCTTAAGTTTTAGAGGCACCTTCTTGTCACACAAAACTCCAGTAGCAGCCCTCCACTTTAGCCATCCCGCCTTTATACGGTGTGTAACATCATCATCCACACCCCCATCTTTATGTATCATAGACCCTAGGTACTTGAAACAATCATTTGAGGGGAGAACATGTCCTTCTATGCATACTTCTACATCTTCATCGTTTTGGTTCCCACTGAAGTTTGAACATAAATACTCTGTCTTTTCAATATTGATCCTTAGACCTTTTTCTTCCAAAGCAGTCTTCCAGGTAGCCAGTCGACTATTCAGCTCAGTTTTTGTTTCAGCAACTAGGACAATGTCGTCAACGAAAAACATACACCATGGAACACCGTCTGGTGTCGCACAATAGATGTCGTCCATAATCAAGGCGAAAATGTAAGGGCTAAGAGCTGATCCCTGGTGGAGTTCAATTTCCACCGGGAATGCCTCGGTGTCGCCAACTATAGTCTTGACGTATGTAGTAGATCTACAATACATATCATGAATCGCTCGGATATAAGCAGTTGGGATCCGTCTCATTTCCAAGGTCTTCCAGATCGTATCGCGGGGAACCCTATCATACGCCTTTTGAAGGTCAATGAACACCATGTGAAGATCTCTATTTTTTTCCCTATATTTCTCCATAAGCCGTCGAAGTAAAACTTGTGTAAGAGGATACGAATATAAAAAATTATATTAAAAATTTAAGGGGTGCAAGATCATAAAATCTCAGAGAGTGTGAAATCAAATAGTTCATATAAAATACAAAGTAAACATCTAATATATAAAGAAATTTAAAATTTCTAAAGGATGCGACCGCATCTAACACTCCTCGATCCATCCCTGCTTAGAGGCTTAGCACACACCACAACAACAAAAGTGGAATGAACCTCCTACGCAATAAAAAGATCTCTCATGGAACTCTTCTTCTCCAATTTCCAAAAATCCGTTCTCCTGATAACATAAGTGTTTACCATTTACATATTTTATCCTTGATAATACATAGCAATATACTATTACGTGCTTGAGTAATATTGATATAAGAATACTCTAGTTTAATTAAGATGTCGGGTTTATGATTTTAAAAATATAACATCTTTATACGTTTGACGAAGCGCTTTGTCACCCTTATAATCTTATTTAGCTTGATGAAATTAGTGTCTATTTACACTATTAAATGGTTTTGTTTAATTTTAATACGATAATTGTTAAAATTAAACTCAATATTTTAAAAATAAAATAAAATGTTTTTTAAATAGTAGTTATCGTCCAATTTTAGATTTAATCTTAAAAAGTCATTTTCTTCACAACAATCGAAAAGTGAATAAATTGCTTGAATTAATTGGACATTGATGCAATAAAATTGGAATGCTCAAGAGAGAGGGTCTATGTATTCTTTATTAGCTCATTTCCTCCCCGTTTTAGGTTCCAAGACTTTCTCTGGACTTTCAGCTCATTAGTCTGCAGGAAAACTGAAAAAAAGTAACTGTCTCGAATTTCCCTCGTCAGGTGGTCACAGAGATTTGGAATCAGAGAGACAGCAGAGAAACAAAGAAAGAAGCAAAAGAACCATAATTGTTCTGCCTATGCTCATCGCCACCATTAATGCTTATCAGCAACAAAGCGTGAGCAGAGCCAAACTATCTCTCTTTGGCCTTTGCTTCTTTCACAGACTTATCAGTCGCCAGCATTCAAGGTTTCAATAAGTGGCTAAAATGGAGCTGAGTAAGGTGAGTTTGGAGATCTTTACCAAACTGGAACAGAAATGGTTATTGCACTGTGAAACTAGTAAGAAAATTCGAATCCTCAGCATCGACGGTGGCGGAACCACTAGCATTGTTGATGGAGCTGCTCTTATCCACCTTGAAGACCAGATCCGCCTCAAAACCGGTGATCCTCATGCTCAGATTGTTGAATTTTTCGACATAATCGCTGGCACTGGCATCGGTGCTGTTCTTGCTACCATGCTATCTGCCGATGATGATACCGGCCATCCGATTTTCACATTTACAGAAGCTGTGGAGTTTATCTATCGGAATAACTCCCAGCTCTTCAAGGTTAATAAGCTCGCCGGATTTCTTCACCGCCGTAAGAGATTCTCTGGTAAGAGCATGGAAAAGGTGCTCAAGGAAATGTTTAGGAGAGAAGATGGAACATTCTTGACACTGAAGGACACTTGTAACTTGTAAGTGTTAAGCAATGTAGAAACTGCAGCAAACGATGTAACATAAACGAGTAGAAGAAGCATTTTCTTTATATTGAATCAGCTTACATTGCTTCACCTTACACTTATCATTTATATTACAATTGTAACAACCTCTAACAACCCTAAACCGTTTCCTAACAGCTTCCCTATGATGGTTAGCAACATCCATCATCATCTCTTTAGTTTACATGCATGGTATGCATGAGCACTCTAGCTCACGTGCATACACAACTTTAACTATCTAAACAGTAAGCCTCTTCTGGTTCCTTGCTATGATCTCAAGAGTTCCGCTCCCTTTGTTTTCCCTAGGGCCGACGCTTCCGAATTACCTGATTTCAACTTCGAGCTTTGGAAAGTCTGCCGCGCCACTACAGCCATCCCCAGCCTGTTCAAACTATTTTCTTTGAAGTCCATCCAGGGAAATACCTCGTGCTCCGCTGTGGACGGCGGTTTGGTCATGAACAACCCAACAGCGGCGGCAGTTACTCACGTGATCCACAACAAGAGAGATTTCCCCTTTGTTAATAGCGTAGAGGATCTGCTGGTTTTGTCTTTAGGAAACGGCTCGTATTGTAAAAGGTCAAAGATCCGTAGTAACGGCAAATGCTCAACTTCTACCGTTGTTAACATTGTGCTCGACGGAGTCTCGGAGACCGTCGACCAGATGTTAGGGAACGCATTTTGTTGGAACCCTACGGACTACGTTAGAATTCAGGTGTGCATATTATTTTTTTTTTATTAAACCAGTTTCTCGTAATTTTCCTAAGCTTTCTTAGTAGCCAAACAGATTCCAACGGTTTTAAGTTTTATTAGTAGCCAAACAGCTCCCTAATCCGAGGGTTGTTAACATGCAGACAAATGGAGTGATGGGGCCGAGAATGGAGGATGTATTGAAGGAGAGAGGAGTCGTATCGTTACCGTTTGGCGGGAAGCGGTTACTGACGGAAACTAACGGACAGAGAATTGAGTGTTTTGTGCAACTTCTTGTTGCCTCCGGAAAAACCAGTGTCTCTCCAAGTCCCTGCAAGGAGTCCGCCGTTAGTCCCTTTCCCAACGTCTGTTAACTTTGTTTTTTCTTTAGATTTTAACCCTTTGTAAGTCGTAACTCGTAACAAACCCCACGTTTTACTTTTAACTGTCCCCTAGGTTGAAGTAAAAATAGCTGTTAAATAGTTAAAAATATCAGCTGTTGCTAATATTTGGTCAATTAGTAGGATTAATGATGAAATTACACAAACTAGAAACGGGGCTAATAATAAGAAAAAACTGAAACGCATCCATGAAAGGCTAGCAAACGAAGTGCAGGAAATTAGAGAAAACTGAAACTCAACGAAAAGTGCAGGAATAAGATTTGTAGAGATCAATTGTTCAACTGCTCAACAATCCACTCTACATTTTATCTCCACTCATCCTTAAAAAATTCAATGCAGAGATCAAACGATAAGATTTGTATTAGGTCATTTGTCATGTCAGTTGAAAAAAAGCGGTTTTAGTGTAATAGAAGAGAATGTTATATATAAAAAAAACATGTTAATATAATTATATTTATAGAATATGTATGTATTATTAATAGATTAAAAAGTGTAATAGAGGAATGTTATATATAAAAAAAACATGTTAATATAATTATATTTATAGAATATGTATGTATTATTAATAGATTAAAAAAATTGAATTAATATTATTTTATAATCATCACAATCTGTTAATTATCAATATATTTTGTCATGAAATGATTACTTGACGGTTATTACCCTGTTAATTCTAGAAATATAACAATATGTAACTTTTTAGCTTTCAATTGGGAGAAATACTGTTAAGTATAGCTTTGGGTTAAGCACCGACACCGTACATAAGAGCTTTCGATCGGTGTTTAATGTCCGTCTATTGAGGGTGCCTAAAATTAAACATTGAAAAATATTTTTTTATCATAAATATATTTTAAATATTTAAGAAACAAATAATCAAATAATACAAAAGCAAAACGTGGAGTTTGAATTTTCTTTTCCTCCTATTTTGTATTGTATAACCTGGGCCCATTGGTTTTGCTCGAGAGGTGGAAAGCAATTCACAATTAATTTTTATATTTGTCATATTTATTATACAAAGATGAAAGGAAGTTACATAATACTTTCGTATAAGTTAATAATGTATAATTTTATATAAAATCAATGAATTAAATAATAATAATAATAATAATATAGATTAATTATTAATTTATCTAAATGTAATTCTAAGTTGTTATAACGTATGGCATCATATAATATGATTCATTAATAATTTATAAAATTATCGATTAATATTAATTTTATTTTATTTCGTGAGTTGCTAAAATCGAAGATTGTTTTTAAAACAAATTTTGATGAGAAGGGAATAGAGAACCCAATTAACTTAAGACGCAAGTTATACTCTATTAAAAAAATGCTTTGGCCAATTCCCACGGAAGCCAAGCATTGTGGTAAGCTTAATATAAGCACAGTGATCAACACTGTCTTTTCTGTAGATTCTTTTGCTATAATGAAGCAATGACAACTTTTGATTAATGTGTCCCAAAGCCCCAAAAGGGTTTTTGAAGAAGCAAAATGGACCACCACATGCTTGGAAAATACTTCAACTAACATCGCCTTTAGTTTATACAGTGATACATAATGTTTCAAATTTGATGCACATATTTTAAACATACTTTGCAATATATTTAATTTGATATTTCGTGCTCAAATAGATTGTTGAACTAATCGAAGGACATGTTTAAAATTATATTGATAGTTTAAGGACTAATTTAGAATATTTCAAAGTGTGGGGACTAATTTAGAATTTAAGCCTAGTTGGGGTTGGAAAACTCCACCTGCTAAATTTCATAATCACAAGGTTAAATCTTTAATATACAACAACAACATTGCCTTTTGCGCTACAAAAGCAATAACACAAGATGCACGCTAAGTAATAACAAACCTTCATGAAAACGATGGAAACCATCATGCTAACTAACGCCCACACAACTGACGTAAAAGGACCAAGCTTTGCTGTTTCTTCAAGAATCATCACTAAACCTACATTTTCGGCATCCGTATGTATCACCCGATGTCGACAAGCTCCGTATCTTCATCTCAAAATTGTGGTAGCACATTTTTTATCACTTTTGCTCTGCCAAGTATCTTTAATACCACAGGCTCGGATTGGCCGTTCGATTTGATGAACGTCCAAAGATTCCTTTTGCAGCTGGGAACAGTATCTTTGGAACGTATTGACGGTTACTTGAAGTCTGAAATCTAGACTGAACAAGAAACTCATCTCCAACCTGTTCAACTCAGCTGTGCTTACCCCGCCCACTCGAGCGTAGTATGCGTTGTTGAAAAACCTGCATTAAGACAGTAGTATGAAATGCTGCAAAATCGGAACTACGTTTCTCCTAAACAGGCTGATTCGTCTTTATCGGGAATCCGAGTTCAAAGGATATCTAAGATCAACCTATAATCTCATAACATATACTTCTCTCAATGAGTATCAATACATGCACCTCATTTTTCTAACAGTAGTTTCTAAAATAGTAGTTCCGAATTCCATCAGTGATGAAAGGAGAGAGGTTATAACACAGTTAACACTTACGCATCATCACCAAATTTTGCGGCCACCAATACACTGGTTATAAGGAGACGATGGACATTAAGGGAAGTCAAATGCACATCGGTTTGTTGAACGAATCTGTCCACATAAATGTACGCAACGAGAAAGCACGAAGGACTGCAGCCAGCATACTTGAAGATACGATCAATATAATGCTGAATGCTTATGGTGGGAGCTCTTAAACCATGAAAGATTGCAACATCATCTTTAAAGTTCACCGTCTCCGATTCCGTTTCATTCTTTTCGACAGATTTCTCGAGTAGTGAAGAAAGAAGTGATAAAATCCGTGGAGTTCCAACAACTCCTTTACCCAATTCTTTGAATCCCAACGCACTGTATATATCCGAATCCACACCAGAGGTATCGATTGCAGGAGTTCCCATAGCTAACCTGAACTGCAAGTGATCAACATTAAAAAGCTCGTTAGTCGAAACTAAAAAATCGCTGTTTCGGGAAACTACGAGACCCCTATCTGCCAGATCTAGAAGAAACTTGCAAGAAACATAGAAGCCATGTTTAGAGGCCAATTGAAGTGCTGGAAAAAGGGTAAGAAATCCAGTTTCCAAATGAAAACCTGCAGCTTCGATTCGAGCCATGTTAATAATCATTCAATCGAACATATTAAATATCAGATCTTATTGCCACCATTTTCATCATCCCAACAAATAGTCAATTGAAATTTATTTCATATGATTAAGTGATGTTTAAGCATAATAAGATCGTCATCTTCGCAAGGCTCAAATTCAACATCCAACCAACTGAAAAATACTACAGAAATCACCTAAAAATCCAAGTTTCTTAGCTCAAACAGAAGAATACAACAAGAATTACGAGAATTTAAGCAAAACCCACACCCAAAATCAGAAAAAAGAACAAGCTTTTAGCACAAACAGAAGGAAAAAAGAACTTACAAAAAAATCTTTTGAAGCTTCTTTCACAGTATCCCTGAATCAGCTTCTTCTTTTGTTTATTATACAAAACAAGATAGACATAAGAGGGATAGATCGACCAAACATCTCTCTCTCTGTCTGGTTCTTCCACTTTATTGCAGAGACAGAGAAAAAAAGAACAGTTTTTTTAACAGTCCCCACCCCCCCCCCTCAAACTATGTACCCTTTATTGGTAATGTTTGAGGATGGTGTCTGAAACTTACTGTCTTGTTTTACTATGTCATGTTTGAAGCTTTACACGGAAAACAGTGTCGGTAGTGGATTTTAGTTTCACCCCATTGTTAAAAGTGGAGAGAGAAACGAGCAAGAAGGATAGCCTTAAACTCTAATCACCTTTCACTTTGCTTTTCCCTTCTGGTTAAAGACTCCTCGGGCCCCACTTTCATCCCCCTTCTTCATCGCCGTCCGTTTTGGATTAACTTGTATGCTTTGACCCGTGCTTAGATGGAGGGAGTAAAAACTCCAAGAAAAAAAAGATATTAATGATGTACTTTGAAAGAATGAAAAAGATGATAATAAATAGTGTTACATGAATAAATTGAGAAATATGTAATGTTTTAAGAAAAAACGTTGAAAAACGTAAATTCATTAAAATGGTTTTATACTCTTAATGATATAAAGAAATATTTTTTTAAAGTTTTGATTTCGAAACTGTTACATTTGTGTAATGTATATATTATCAAAAGTTATAAAAAATATTGTTGAAAATATTTTGATATTTCGATATAACAAATTAAGTTAAATGAATTTTAAGATTTTCTAAAAAGATTTTCTAAGTATATTCGATATAATTATTTGAATATCAAAATATTACTCCAAATCTTTCAAATGTCATTTTTAATCCTTACTCAAGTGTAAAATTAAGTTTTAATCTTAAAATAATTTCAAAACAATTTTACAAAATATTTCGAACCATTTCAAAGCCAAAAATTCCAGATTGCTCAGAGGGAACCGATTCCCCTCCAAGGGGTACCAATTCCCCCTGATCAACGGTCGAAATATTTGAATTTTACACTTAGGGAACCGATTCCCCATGAGGGGGTGCCGATTCCCCCACGCTCCAAACAGAAATATTAATTGTTTTCATACTTAAACGGTTCCAAAAACTTCATTAATGATCTCCCAACGTTCAGAAGTGATTCAAGGTGTATTTAAACAAGCTTAGAAGCCATTGATCAACAACAAGAAACATCAAGCAACTAGAATCAAGAGATAATCAAAGAGAAAGCATCAAACCTCAAGTTTAAGCATTTCAAGCCTATTTTTCATTCAATATTCATTTTACTTTCAATAACACTTATTGTGCTCAATTGTATTTATTCTTGAGTGTTCTTTCTTTGTTCTAGAATTGTGCAAACATATTTGCCTTGTGAGGTTTTTCTTGTAAGTTTGCAAATTTGTAATCTTCTCTTTGAGAAAAGAGTGTTTTCAAGAATTGAGGTATATTCTTGAGGGAATTGTAAGGTTATCTCTTTGGCCTCAAAAGAAAGAACAAATTAGTGAATTTGTTAGAAAATCTTTAGTGTGGATAGCTAAGGTAGTGGACCTAGACTTTGGTTGATAAAGTCGAACCACTGTAAATCGCTGTGCAATTACTTTCAATTTTCTGCAAAAGCTTCCACCAAAATTTTTATTACCAATTTACCCCCTCTTGGCTGATTCCATCGATCGATTAACTCAACAATTGGTATCAGAGCCTAACTCATTTGAAGGTTTAATCACCTCTTGAGTCGATTCGGGAAGAGTTACATCGATAATCAAAGTCATCAATGGCCTCCACTTCAAACTTCGACTCCGGTCTCGATTCGATGCCCGTCAACAAGCCTCATTTCTTCAATGGGGCTAATTATGTCTATTGGAAAAATATGATGATGTACTTCATTCAAGCAAGTGACATGGGAGCATGGAATGCCGTAGAAGAATGATACATCAAGCCTCTCACTCATCCAAGATTGTGGAGTGAAGGAGAGACCTTAACTCTTGAAGAACTAATCGGTTCCCTTCTCACTCATGAAATGATGCTTGAAGATGAAGTGAACCTCGATAAGATTGACGAGACACCAAAGGAGAATGAGAAGAAGAAAAACTTTGGAGTTGTTCTCAAATCCACAAAAGATGAGAGTGATTCGAATGACGATGATGATGACGAGGAAATGACATTATTTGCCAAACGATTCAGAAAGTTGATGATGCCCAACCGAGGAAGAAAAATCAAACGTCATGAAGGCTTCAAAACTGAATCAAAGGAGAAAGACCCGATCATTTGCTATGAATGTAAAAAGCCGGGGCATGTCAAATATGATTGCCCACAATTGAAGAAAAATGGTCAATCCAAAAAGAAGCACAAGGCTCATGTAGCTACATGGAACGATGAAGAAGGTTCCGATGAAGAGAACCAAGAAGTTGCAAACTTGTGCTTAATGGATATCGGGGAAGATTCTAAGGTAACCTCTAACTCATTCGATTTGGAAAAATTATCTTATGATGAGTTATTAGAGGATTATAATGGGTTGACTTCGGATTATAAGACTCTATTTTCAAAATACAAAAATGATATTTCAAAATTGAAAAACGAAAATAGTCTTATATATAAGACCAACAATGAGCTTGCAAGTAAGATCAAAGAATTACAAATCAAAATTAATGATTTTGAAAAGAAAAATACTGATTTGCATAACTTACTTTCAAAAGTTCATGATGATCAACAAAAGAAGATTTATGATCTTAAAACTTCTTTTAATAAGGTTGGAACAAAAAGTTTTGAAAAATGTGAGAATTCAAAATCCAACTTTGTTAAGAAAAGTTTTAGAAGCTACAATCATAGAAGTCCTAAACGAACGTTGAATGGTAAAATTGTTAGGAGTATATGGGTTCCTAAAGAATTCATTACTACTAAAGATAAGGATGTCCTTTGTAAATGGATACCAAAGGGGACAAGGAATTTAGAAACTAATGAATATGGACCCAAAAGAATTTGGGTACCAAAAATTAGAAATTAATCTATGTTTGTAGGAAAAAGGAGCATTGCTACAAGGCATGGGAAACAAATCCAAATTCATGGTACCTTGATAGTGGATGCTCGAGACACATGACCGGAGACAAAAGCCGGTTCATAGAGCTTAACGCCAAAAATGGAGGAGAAGTGACTTTTGGTGATAATTCAAAAGGTCACATTGAAGGTATTGGTACTATAGGTAATACCTCTTCCATACAAATTAAAAATGTGTTATATGTGAATGGATTAAAGCATAATCTATTGAGTATTAGTCAATTATGTGATAAGGGATTCAATGTCATGTTTGAAATTAATGGTTGTAAAGTCATTGACATTGCATCTAATCGGATTATGCTTGTTGGTCATAGAATAGGAACCATATACATGGTGCATTTAGATTCTATTGATATTGTGCCTAGTTGCTAAGGATGAACATGATAGTTGGTTATGGCATAGGAGACTAGGACATGCTAGTATGAGTGTTTTGCAACGGCTAATTCAAGGAGACTTAGTAAGAGGGTTGCCTAAGCTTAAATTTGATAATGATAAAATCGGTGATGCTTGTGCTAAAGGAAAACAAAGCGAATTTCTTTTAAATCCATTAATGGCGTATCAACTAGTAGAGTATTACAATTGATCCATATAGATCTTTTTGGGCCAACTAGGACTACTAGTTTGGGTGGAAAACAATATGCATTTGTCTTGGTAGATGACTATTCTAGATATACTTGGGTTCTATTCTTAAGTACTAAAGATGAAGCATTAGAAAATTTCATCACATTTTCAAAAGTAATCCAAAACGAAAAAGGTTACTCTATCACGAGTGCTAGAACCATACTTTGTGAAAATAATTTGCCAAAATATTTTTGGGCGGAAGCCACAAATACCGCTTGTTATGTTGTAAATCGAGTAATGATTAGACCAATTTTAAAGAAAACTCCATATAAAATTTTCAAAAATAAAAAGCCTAACATTAGCTATTTTCATCCTTTTGGATGTAAATGTTTTATTTTAAACAACGGTAAAGAAAACCTTGGCAAATTTGATGCTAAAAGTGATGAAGGAATTTTCATGGGTTATTCCTTAAATTCTAAAGTTTATAGAGTATTTAATAAAAGAACTTTAGTTGTAGAAAAGTCTGTACATGTTGTTTTCAATGATAATCTCCATCCGAGGAAGGATTCTTGTGTTAATGATGATGTAGGTATTGTACAAGCAAATGACGTTAGACATGACGTTGGAGAATCATCATCAAAGGAAGAAACGAAAGATGAGGAAACTCATGATCTTCTCGAGAATCCAACCATTGAAGAAAGGGAAGTATCTTATCCAAGAGAGTACAACTATGTCAAGGATGGTGAGATTATAGGTGATCCATCCAAAGGGGTAACAACTAGATCCTCTCTTAGAAATATTTGTAATTATGTTGCATTTATTTCATGCATAGAGCCTAAGAACATCAAAGAAGCATTAAAAGATGAACATTGGATTATGGCTATGCAAGAAGAATTAAATCAATTTGAGAGAAGTAAAGTATGGACATTAGTTGAAAGGCCTAGTAATAAATCTATTGTAGGTACTAGAGATGGGTATTTAGGAATAAGCTTGATGAGAGTGGTAATATAATGAGAAACAAGGCTAGACTTGTTGCTCAAGGGTATACTCAAGAAGAGGGCATATACTATGATGAAACATACGCTTCCGTAGCTAGGATGGAAGCAATTAGAATGTTATTAGCATTTGCATGTTTTCATGAATTTAAATTATATCAAATGGATGTTAAAAGTGCATTTTTAAATTGTTTTATAAAAGAAGAAGTGTATGTGGAACAACCTCTAGGTTTTGAAGATTCAAAATTTCTGGATCATGTTCTTAAATTGACAAAAGCACTTTATGGTTTAAAACAAGCTCCTAGAGCTTGGTATGAAAGATTGTCAAACTTTTTAATTAAAAAAGGTTTTTCAAAAGGGAAGGTTGACACTACATTGTTTTTAAAGCGTAAAGGTAAATATTTATTAGTAGTTCAAATTTATTTTGATGATATAATATTTGGTTCTACTAATGATGTTCTTTGCCAAGAATTTTCTAAGCTAATGCAAAGCGAATTCGAAATGAGCATGATGGGGGGAGCTCT